TGTGTAGTACCGTGTGTATGTGTATGTGTAGTACCGTGTGTATGTATGCGTAGTATCGTGTGTATGTATGCGTAGTATCGTGTGTATGTATGCGTAGTACCGTGTGTATGTATGTGTAGTACCGTGTGTATGTAATGTATGTGTAGTACCGTGTGTATGTAATGTATGTGTAGTACCGCGTGTATGTGTGTGTGTCGTACCTTGTGTATGTGTATGTATAGTCCTGTGTGTATGTTTGGTTTCGTATGTGTGTGTAGTCCAGTATGTACGTGTAGCCTCCAGATGTGTGTGTGTAGTATTAATATGGGCCTGTATGGATGTTTTATCCTGTATATGTTCTGTCCCGTATGTGTGGCTCTGAATGTATCTGTTATACTGCGTGCATGTGTAGTTCGAAATGTCTTATATATGCATGTGTAAGATCCGCGTCCGTATTTCTGGATGTGTATCATCCTGTATATGCACCTCGCGCTCATCCACACATTTATACATTCACATTCAGAAATCTTCGTCCACGCACACACATACGCACACACGTCTCCATCCACATAGACATCTTTATTCTCAATCCCACACGCGCACATTTTTTCGAATTCTAGCTGCTAATAATTCTTTTGGAGTTTCTCGAAAGTATAAACCACACAACGGCCACTCTCTGGAATAATTCACAAGTCAATCGACTTATAGTCTGTTTGACTTCTGAATTTTTACTTTTCATTTTTTTCAAAAAAATATATAAGATAATTTTAGATTACATTTTATATTTATGCTATGGTAGAACTTCCAGTCGTATGTCCTCAGCTTCATAAGGTTCATAATCCCATGAGGAATGACCAGTTGGTCCGAGTCTCTTCCTTTTGTATTTTTCTTTATTCTTCGTTGTTATGCAAATTATTCGATCTACGATTCCCAGAATCGACTATCGGTAATCTTGTTCATATTAAAGTATATCTTTTAAAGACATTTAGAATAATTAAAATTTTGTTCTATTTTTCAAGCCAGCTTTAAAAGTTTTCACTTTTGTACAAAAATATAAGTGGCAATATTTTGATTTACAATACTCTCATCGTTCATCTTCTATGAAATCATGTTCAGCATTGAATTGGTGCATTTAATAAATTCTTACTGCTCGCACTTAATTTCATCTTTTTTGGAGCACAGTGCAATCACTCCGCTAAAGTATAGCAGTTCAATGATTATCTCATTTCCTAACGATGATAAACTTCCTCACAGCAATGCTGGTGCTGAACTCCATTTTCCAGATATCACAGTTTTGAAAAATAAAAAAGAAAACAGCATACATTAAAAAGAAATAAGTTGAATTGCGCATTAACCACTCTTTTAAAGCTGTGGTTCATG